CTCTTAGTGAATTAAGAAATCATTCTGAAATCATCAGTTGGCAACATTCATAGAAAGAAATGGTACCGATGATCACAATTTGAGCGTAAGCTCCATTACACAGAAAAGTAACTGTCCTTGTTGATTAACATTAATTAAATATTCTTGTTTCTCTGTTGATGGATATTTTTTTTATTCTTATCTCTAGATTGCAGTTTATATTTACCTAGATATATGTATAATTGTTGCGTGATATGTAACGCTACTTACCTGGTTAAGTGGAACAACAACAACTCCATTATTATTATTATTATTATTATTATTTTAATTATTTATTTTTTTTTTTTATTACTCTCTTTTCCACACGAACAGGGTATAATAAGAATAATTCGAGCTGTCGTCTTTAGCCTTTCGGTCTCGTCGATAGCGATCGAACTGCCGACGCGGGCTAACGTCTCCACAATTCTTTTTAAACCCCTAATATTGTCACATATATATATACTTTATATATACTTTTTAATTTATATTTGTTTATTTTTCACCCTTTCTCGGCGACAAAAACAGGCATTGGGCTTCGCCCCCCGCCCCCCCGCCACGGAAATGCTCCTCGACAATTCGGTGAAGGTTAAGGTTTTTAATTAAAATAAACATAAAATATCCATTAAAATTAATTAGACGAAATTAGGGTGGAAATTAAGATACATAAAACCAGACCTCTCGGTGTCGTTAACACTTCGCCATCCCCGCCCCTCCGCCACCTTCTTTTATCCTGGAGGCTTTTCGCGAGAAACTTCGGCAACAAAACCTCACAACTTTGCGAAAACATGAAGAGAAATACGCTTTGGAAATAAATCCCGCCATCGGAAATTTCAAAACTGAATTAAGAGTAAACTCGACATGATAACTAATTTTACGAGAATAGAAAAATAAATTGAAGTAGATATTTATAAAGCTAAATCAGCATCTTCGCTGCAGAATTGCAGAATTTGAGAAGTGGTTTGATCTCAATCTCTCTATAGGAAATGGTGCGCACTTGATAAGATTTTTAACAAATTCAGCCCGTCTGCCTCTTGGAGGGTGTATAATTAAGAAATTTTTTAGGCATCTAGTGTTTTTCATTCTTATTAGTCGTCTGGTTTCAGGACAAACTATTTAAATCCAATATATAAACATTTATTAATCAATTTAGTAAGTGCAAATCAAATATGCAACTGAAAGTACTACCAACAACCAACAATAGCAACATAAAAATAGTATACAGTATAAATATGAAAGTATCCTGTGTTAAATCACTTAGGAATCAATTTTGGATAATTTATTGCTATAAGAAACCTCAATTTATATACGTCGTTATAGAAATACTACGACAGTATTTTAAGGTTTCCATAGAATTGGAATGTATTTCGTCACTAAATTGAATCATCAACTGAACACAAAAGTTGTAAGAGAGCAGATCTGCAGAGGGCAGCAGTTACTTTCAACACTATGAACCTTCAATTTGGATTGGATTAAAGATAGTTGTGTAATATCGTGCAGAGATTAGAATTTTCATTTTGTACCGCCTTAACAGCACGCCACTCAAATTTCCCGTAAATTCCCGAAAAGACAATGAAAAACGACCCAGAATAACGAGAGCGTTTTCCGTGTTCATTTGCCTTTCGAGTCGTCGCGAGGACGTTATAATTGCAATTTCTCATCTCAATATATCAGTTTGTTCTTGTTTACTGAAACCCATTAAGCCTAAGGACCTTTATTAAACTTCTTCCTCAGTTTCGCTTTGTTTTTCGGCCCGTTCTTAACGTTGAGTGACGCGCAGAAGAGGAAATGATTAACTTCAAAACGGGATTTGTGCTTTTGGCTAATCGGTGGCAACTTTGTTGAAAATTCTACCTTTGCGTTGCTTCCCGACTACTGCGAGGATTTTGTAACAATTTCACAGCCGGGTTAATGAGCTAAAAGTTTGTTAGTTTGTTTGTTTATCGAATTTACGAAACAAATCGTCTCTCATTCATTTTCCAACCGGCGATTAAAAGGAGTACAACGAACGCGTCGCTACGTGTCTTATATTCTCTTTAGAAACACGTAGAACAAGTCCCTGTGACTACTGATAGTATTCGTTTTGGCATTACCTAAAAAAAATTATCTAAATTAATGCTCGGATATTAAATTTTTCAAAAGAAACTTTCGCAGGATACTGTAACACTATTTACAGGTCTTCTGGATTCCTGCACACTGACTCTTTGTTGCGTTCTTATCTGCTTGTAAAAATCCTTCTTAAATCTAGTTTTACTTTAATGAAATAGACCAACCAAGACTCTTCTGTCCCTATATCTTGAAATTGCTTCCGTCTTGTCCAATATATAAGCAGGTATGGTCTGCTCATAGACATAAGAAAGTGACCAATTGCCAAGGGTGGTCATTAACATACAAGCAACAAGATCATTACCTAATACCTGTGTTTAATATTCTTTGGTTTGGTATACTACTTAGTTTAAGTTTCTTAGTAATTATTCTCTATGCAAATTATGCAAAATATGTGCGAGTCTAGTGTATCTCAAGAAATGTGCATCTTCATTGGCGATTCTGTCACATATACTGATCCATTTTTAATTAGCAGATTTACATAGTATTCTTTCTATTTTCGAATTGGTATTAGTTCAGTGATTATTACACTAGTACGTTTGATTATAACCTCAAGGTCATTATTGAACCAACAATGCTTTTTTCCAGAATAAGCTCCTGTTTAGCGCATTTCATAAGGAGGAGATCGATCAGATTAGATAACACCTGTCTCAGATCGAGAATTGTCGTTAAACGTTTTAAAATCAAAACGCAAAATCGAATCTATCAATCAATCATTTCCGCATGAAAACGCGGCGATTGTCAACGCCTTTCTTCACTTGCCAATCGAAGCGCAACAAACACATAATGAACTACGAGTTACCCTCAAGTGCTATCGATTTTGCCGCGATAACGTAGAATGCCACCGCCGTCCCCGCCCCCCGCCATGCCCCCCGCCCAGTTTTCCGTTATACGTTAGCGGAAAACATTAAAGCAAAAAAAAAATCTGTGTTTTGCATCAAGCTCTAATGTACGAAGTTTGATAGATATTAAATTGGAAACTCCTTTTTGGGGAGCGACATCAAACAGAAAAGCAACCATCCCTTGAAAATAGACTTAGCGAAAACGTTCCCCGTTTCTGTTGTGTTTTTTTTCTTCTTCGGGCTGCTTCTGGCCCTAGCGTTTTCTTTTTTGTTCTAGCGTTAAAGTGAATCGGTTTCACTTCAAACGCCTGAGGCTCGATCGATATTCAACGCGCATTTTTCATATGAACCGAATCATTATCGAGTTCACTTGGGTGACTTTTCTTGTAGGGTAATGTTCGATAAATTTACGATAAAATTACGATAAAACTTTATCTTCTTTTAAATATATATCTTAGTAGGCTTCGAAAAAAAAATTGAAGTCTCGCGTCAAATAATTTTTGATTGACAGCATTTTAAACAAGATGCGTCCGAAAAATTGTGGCAAATAACGCAAATTGGGTATAGAGCAGTCATAAAGTTTTTGACAAAAGAAAGGTTAGCACGTAAAATTATTAAAGAAAGACTGGATGGTGTGTACGAACAAAGTTCTCCTTAGTATTCTGTAGTGAAAGAATGGGCAAAACGTTTCCGAATGGCGCAGGAGTCCCTTGAAGATGATTCAAGAACTGGTCGACCAGTGTGGAAGAGGTGGTATTGAGTGATCGACGTTTAAAGGTCAAGGAAATCTCAGAAATTACTAAGCTTTCTGATACAAGTGTTCGTCGAATCCCGCATGATCTTTTAGGTATGCATCAGGTTAATGCAAGATGGGTTCCTATTCAAAAACAACGTGCGCGGTCTTTTTTGGAACCCTGGGGGCCGGAACCGAAGCCTGTGTTAGAAACTATTGTGGCGGGAGAAGAAACTATGGTTCTCTACTATGACCCTCTATCGAAAAATGAATCAATGGAGTGCCGTCGTAAGGGTGAAGCACCTCCAAGAAAATTCAGAGTCAACAAAAAAGGTGATGGCCACGATCTTTTGGGATTGTGAAGGAATTCTTTTGATAGATTTTAAGAAAACTAATACGACTGTCAATGGTAAATATTACGCAACATTATTACATAAATTTGCGAGACATTTTAGAGTGTGAGGTTCCAACAGATAGGTCATCCTCCCTATAGTCCAGATATGGCCCCCAGTGACTATTATTTGTTTGGATATTTGAAAAAGGACTTACGTGGACGGCGGTTTAACCACGAAGTTGAGTTAAAAGAGGCCGTTTTAGCTGATTTTGCAGACAAGCCAAGAGAATATTTTCTTAAAGGGATTGAGTTGTTAATAAAGAGATGTGATAAGTGTATTGAAGTTAAGGGGGATTATAATGAAAAATAATAAAAACAGTTGGCGAAATTTCAGACAGTTGTCGCAAATTTGGTGACTGAAAGTCTTCCCTTCTTCACTGACTGCGAAAGAACCTTCCGATATGATTGACGCCCGTTATCAAGTTTGACGCCTTTAATTAAAGCTTATAAAATTGGAGCTGGGTAAAAGGGAATAATAAATCAAAGAGGGAGTCTCGGCCATGTTAAAGGATTTTAGAATGGTGTGCTGCGAGTGAAGTCGGTAATGTGCAAAATGTTGGTCTGGCGTATTGCACTATAATTTTATGATAAAAAATATTTATTGTCCTCTTCGCAAGAAAACTAATTGCTATTGTTTATTCAGTTGCACATTTTTCATAACTTTTTCTAAATCTATCTTTACTTATTTCTAAATATCTCATGATCATTACACTCTATTTAAACCGACATATCAAGGAAATAATGTAAAACATGCGCTAATTGTCAAGAACTGCATTTTGAATCACAAAATTTGAAAATACTAAGTGGTGATTCTACTCAGTGCATTATTTGAATAGAATATAAGGACAAGAAATGCCCAAAAAACTATATGGATATTTATTTCTTCTAATATTTTTATTTTCATTTTCAGTTACGGCTGCCTGATCTACGTAGCGACCCAGATAGCGTCTGGGATGAAGTATCTAGAATCACTAGATTTGGTCCATCGAGATCTAGCTGCGAGGTAAACCATTCAAAAGCCTTCCACACTTATTTCATTCTTCCCCTTTACACCTTTTCTCTTCTTCTAACTAAATTTCCGTCTTTTTTTCTATTCCTGAACTTAATCGATTTTCTTAGTCCAATAAAGTACTTTCCCAAGTTTTCGTCATCAGTTTTTTATATCTAGTGTTACATACTGCCTCTATTTTACTTCGTCGTTTCAGGAATTGCGTGGTAGATAAAAATTTCACCATCAAAGTGTCCGATCACGCCATGTACTGCGATCGCTACGAAAGCGACTACTATATTAGTGATACGAAAGCAAGACTGCCAATCAGATGGATGTCGTGGGAATCCCTACTATTGGTAAGTAGAGGCGAAATAAAGCGAAAGTTAATCGCACTAAAATAAACCCTTAGGGAAGACAAACGACGAAAAGTGACGTATGGGCCTTCGCCATTACCCTGTGGGAAATTCTCATGCTGTGCACGCAGCAACCGTACGCGGAATTGACCAGCGAACAGGTGATCGAAAACAGCAACCATTGGTACCAAAACGATGGCTGTCAAAGGTAATGGATTTCATAATTTTTTATAATGATAAGTTTTCTAGAAAAAATTTAAGTAATTTTTGAAATTTTCCATTGAAACGCGCGTATCTGGTGATCTGTCAAACTCTATCAAACTTGTGAATGAAAAAAGAAGATTATAAAAAAGTATTCTATTCTAGATACAAACTGTTATACACACCTAATTAATAATTATTGTGTTAGGAGCCGCGAAAACGCAGTTGCCCTCACTGACGTCATAAAACAGTAAATATACCTCATTTTTGCCAAAAAACAAATTATTTTATTATAAGATATAAGGAAACTTTAGATTCGTATGCCATTGCATTTATGAAGAACTTAATTTCTTTTGCTCGCTTATGATTCAACAGGCCACTTTGGTCGCTATTTTTAGCTTAACTTTAACCAGCCTTTTCGAGTGTGTACTCAAATAAAACAAATTAAAGGAAAAGACAAAAGAAATCCAAGTAACTAAATTATTTCCTGATGTATGTAAGAGCATAAGTACCACAGTCATGGAAATGCTATTTGCATTTTCTCGTGCTTTTCTTGAAGTTATTTATTTAAGTTTTTATCGCAATGTTAGCCAGATGGAGTAGGTAAATTCGTCTTGCGATTTAGGTGCTTAAATTACTGCTAGAGGCACCGTATTCTACATATATAATGCTAAAGAAAAACACTTTTCTTGACTCGAACTAGCTAACGTTTCGCTTCTTCACAGCAAACACACACGTAGACGGGTCATATCGTCAACTTAAACTTAAATTTATCATTAAGGCTTCTTCTCTATCAGAATCCGTGAAAAAATCACCTAAAAAAACCTAAAAAACTCTAAAATGACGAGGGACTCCCAAAGATTCACAAACCCGAATTACCCCGACAAACTTGACAACGCCGCGCATTGCGCATCATCGAGTTTGCAACATGTCGCGGAGATTCAAAATGACGATTCAACGAAACATTTGACAACGTCGCTGCGAAGATGTGGAGTTCCTTTCAACCTCATGCTATCAATTTATTTCAAAAGTTGACACGTATATCATATACAGGAATCTTTCGGAAAAAGAGAACAAAAATAAAAAAGCGTTCTTCTGCTGGGGTAAAAAAGTTAGAGGCATAACGAAAGCGCTACAGTCAGCTATTAATGCAGTTATCACGTCATTACGCAACCTCAATACAGCCATAATCAAAAATTGACTATGGCTGTATTGTTTATTCATCTGCGAGAAAAGTTTGTTAGATCTGCAAGATCGTATTCAAATTTTAGGAATTAGATATTGACCGGGTGCTTCTCCAACAACACCAGTCCAAAGCTGTGGAAACTGTGGATCTGGATCGATGCAACTAAACCTACTAAGAAAAATAGCAATAACAACATATATAACGACTGTGAAAGCATATCCAAAAAACCCGAACAATAAATTTTTATTCTCGGATATACACGCGTACTCCAGTCGAAGAAGAATTAGACGTCTTTTAGCAGTGAGATGCAGAGAGTATTTCGAAAAAATTTAAGTTAACCTGCCGGGGGAACTGATAGGTGACAACTAGAAACTGTTGTAGTAACACCTTGCCTCGAAAAACAATATCAGAAGTAACGGCAATGGTTTACCTAGACATGAAATAGTGAGAGCTTTTAGAGGATCTACAGGACACACAACCCTCTTACCCAGAAACATCTCCTTAACGGTGAAGCTCTTCCTAAGTGTGATATGTGAGGTATAGTTGACTGACCGACATATGTGTGAATGCAATTGAGATTGACAGCTAGAAGCCGATGCTGTAGACTGGGGGTGTTTTAGTGGGTAAACCTGGATTGTACAACTTACCGGGGAGTCTCATACTTGCCACGCAGGGCGTCCGTAAAAGATTTCACCTCCAATTCCCTCAAAAAAAAGGTTGTTGTTATTGAGATATTTGGAGAATAATTTAGACAAAATTAATTAATACAAGAAAAATAATAGGTAACCAAAACGGAAAATCCGAGAGTCTATAGAAATCTATAAGCAACCTAACAATCTTAACCACGACTCAAGTCTCTACCTGTCACCAATATGAGAATCAGTAATCATTTAGCTCCGCTCCTCTCAAACAATATAAAAGTTTCAGTTAAGGTCTGAAGAAGCCAACAGGATGAGTGGCGAACCGTTAGCTAGTTCGAGTCAACAAAAACCGACGCAGAAGTTTTATAAAAGGTATTACAGTAGCCTGTGGAAGTTTCTTTGAAACTTCAAAGAAAAACGTTTACAAAAATCTTTTGGTATTTTTTTAATCAAAATTTATATAACATAAGCAAACTGTAAATGTATGTAAATATTCGTTAAATATATTCAGGTCAGGTCTGAGTTGAACAATTCCAATTGGCGCCCCATCTAACGTCGAGAACTTCAACTACTATAAAAGTAGTGAGGAACATTTTTACAGAGACCTCTTTATGGATAAATCACCTTGTTTTTAATCCAAAATGTCACTTGAAAACATCAGCTCTCATTTCGACTGTATTTTAATGGAAGTTTTTGATGATATTTTGACATTTTCAGTAGGATAGTTACGTCACACGTTAGGTAGTGATTGAGTTCGTGTTGTTTCGCAAAATTGTGCTCATCCGTTTTTCCACCGTCTATTACGACTGTTCAATTTACTTTGTCGTTGTTTCAGATATCTTTCGAGACCATCGTCTTGTCCACGAGAGATTTACGACCTGATGGGCGAGTGCTGGAAACGAAACGCCGCGGATAGGCCCCGTTTTTCCGAAATACACCTGTTTTTGCAACGCAAAAATTTAGGATATATGCCCGCCAATCTCGCGGTGTAAACGAAAGCGGGTTATTTTCAAATAATTGTCTCGACTCTATAGGAGAACACATTTAAAGACGTTCGTGTATATTTTGAACATATAGTGATGTATATTACCCACTGATAAGTTTCCCGCTAATTGCTAAACGAAACCCTATTGTGATATAAGAAAAATTATGTGTATTTAATATCATATCGCTCATTAACAGAATTATATTGCGTAGGTAGTTTAATCGTCGCATACTTGAAAAATATTCTGAGACCAACAAATTAACGAAAATACTTTAAATATTATTGTAACCGCGAAATTCAACTATATAGATGTGACTTTGACACTTTTGAAAGGTGGCAGGAGATCTATTAGAGTGGACACACTTACTAACTGTACATGTAGGGTCCACGATTTCAAACACAATATACAAGGTGAGCAAAATGGCATTACAGTGACGTAAAATCAATAGAAAAATTCCGACAAAGGATTTTATGATTGTAAGCAAACTATATTCTCAAATTTAACCAGCATTTTTCTACTGGTTGTTACTTTCGGAACTCGTATTGCTCACTTTATACCAATCAAGCACAAATCTTACGATCTTTGAATTTAACAAGTCACGCGCTTGTACATACGAACACAGTGTATAATCTGGTCAATTCCCCAAAATGTCATCAATTTCCTCAATGGTACCCGCAGATGTCGAACGAAAGCCTATAAATAAGGTATAAATATATATTTATTGTGTTCCCGTAAAACAAATCTATGTAAGTATAATGGAGGCACTCGTGTAATATTTCGTTGATCCTGAAGATGATGCTCAAAATTGTACAAAATAATACGTGTCGAATTTTTTGCCCCTTTTTTCCCTTAATAGCGATTGTACAAATTTAAATGGCAAAATCTGTGTACCCCGAGAATGTTTTTCAAGTATTTTTCCGAATCGTCGTTTCCCACCCAGTAGACACCCGCAGTGTTGCCGATACTGTTGCTTTCTAGACGGTTTTGGAAACCCAAAGGGTTTTTCGAAAAATCAACGAGACGACATCTTATTACAAGGTTTGATTGTCCAAAGAAGAAACTAAAAACTCATTATTATCAATAAAATATATTATGTAATTTTCCCATCTTCTTTGAAACACTTGCCGTAACTGAAAATAATTGCGACCTTTCACATCCTCTTTCTCTAACCATCCTACTACTCCCGAGATAACTTGTATAGTATTTCTAGTCATGATATAGTATTAACAGTACACAAAACAATTTGACTGTGTAATTAAGATTGTGTAATCCGTAATGTATATGTAAATTGTTTTATTTGATATATTAAAACGCGTCAAAGTTGTGATTGAAAAAATATTTCCGTAATAAAATATATTAAATAACGATCCCTTTTTACTATGTACGAATATGTGTATAATTGTTCTATCGTCAATTGCAAACACCCGTAGAGTCCATTCGTAGAACATTCCACACAAACTGTTTGGCGGGCGCCATTTTGGTCAAATTTAAATATCGCTGGTTAAAAAACCGGCAGTTTTCTTTTATTTGGGATGATCTCACGAAGCAAATATATGAAAATGACATATTTGCGGTACCTGCCAGGCATAAACGTTTCCAAACCTCAAGAGTTGTGTGACCCGATATATATGTACATGTTATCCGAACATTATAGAGGCCCCTAAGATCGTCACGCGCCTGTCTCCAAATTAAATTTGTATTTTTATAAGGTGTAAAATGTATTTATTTACTATATAAAAACTTTCCAGTGCCATAATAAGACTTTGTAAATAGTTCCCGTTGTAAATAGTATTTATTAGAATTAAGCATTTCCATAGAATTAACGAACATTTGCGATGTACCAATGGATGTATACAGGCATGGATATTTTTAGATATAAAATTGCTTAGTTTTTCGATTTATAGAATGTAAACGATAATTTTGTATTTCCTATCATGGCTAGTTGATATAACTTTCATCGGTCAATGGAATTAGAACGCAAGTCAAATTACACTTATAACCAAGTGGGTACTTACTTAGCTATCCAGCTAAAACTATTAGCCTTGAAACTCTCCTCCTTTGAGAAACGTCAGTAATTGCACTAGACGCATGTACTGAAACTAAATCCATTGACCTTCACATTCCAACTAAATTACACGTGTAATAGTTATACATACTTTAAAGACGTCTAAATTACATTTTTACAGTGACAAAACTAAAAATTATGTTGGCGCGCCTGTGTTTTAGTTAGAATTTATTCGAAACGGGATCCTAGTCGTCGGGTAAAATTCTATAAAGCACACGTCGTCGCCTTCTTAATTTTTTTTTGTTGACAGCACAAGACAATCAAGTGCGCGATGCATGCTTTGAATAGTGAAAAAAGCATGTTAGCATTTTAGAAGTCATTTTCCTGGCACACGGGTAAATCAAAACGTTGAAACCTGTTTTTTTCCGCAAAACGTGGCACCCCGATTCTGCGTTAGGCAGGGAAATGTGCTTAATTCCCAGGCTAGGAAACGTTTACGGTCATTTGACGCACATGGAAGTTTTAATTTACATTACTTTGGATACGTTTAAGCTATAAATACCGCGTAAGGTTTTTTATATAAACTAGAACATTAAGGTTTTCATTTTAATGTGTTAAGAGATAGTTGAATTGTGTAAATTCGTTATGTACCTTTCCACACAAACGACTCGGTCAAAAAAACCCTTTTCATGTAAACATTTTTATATAGATGTTTCATTATTAAATACATATCATGGAAAACTAATTTCGAATTTCACTAAAACGTTTTTCTCATCATCATCTCTGTGTGTTTTTCTGTAAATACATGAAAATACAATTATTTATTATTACAGTTAGAATAAAGACCCGTGACGTTTAATTTATTGACGCATTCTTATTTACTCGGCCTTCCCATAACTTCGCCCGACATCTGCGACGAACACAATATCATGTACCAACCAAGCATTCAACTCAATACAACAATTCAACTATGCGTTTTACAACTTCTGTTGGGCAAAGCAGAGACCTTCAATTATACGTTTCATCATAACTCTCGGGTATGATTGCTAGGATCAATTGCTCATTTCCGATTTCCGGAGTTATGTTTGACACATTAATCACAGACCGATAACTGTTCTTTGACTTTCCCACTGGTCTCCTTTAACAAAAAAAAACAGGTTACACGTTGTAAACATGAACAACAAAATAATTAAACCAATCCCAAACCTGTGTTAACCTATAAGCAGAGATCTTATTAAATAGTGACGGACTTTGCCTGAATGGCTATTGTTCAATGTTTAGGACGTTTCCGACTATACCTATTTATGTTCTGTACTTAAGCTTTCCATTCTGCTTCACGGTTGTTGGTTACTGTGTTGTGCTATTTCTCAATTCATGTTTTAGATAGCAAACGTTTTTTGCAAGTATTTTCTGATTATTTTGTCAAAGTCTATCATGTCAAAACAGAAACAAACACGAAAGAGAAAACACACCACCACCCGTTATTTTGACATAGAATTTGAAGTTGACGCGCCTAAAACAAAATTTCGCCCTTCTGAAGATGCGGAGGATAGTAAGCTTTCCGAAATGTTGTTCGGTGGGAGTTCCTCCTTTTTAAAGAGCCTGGATGAAGCCGAGCGTTCGGAAGACGTTGATTCCGGCGTAGCCGAAGGATCTAGTACAGATAGTGATGAATCTGAACCTAAAGCTGCCTGGTATGATGAAGACGACGTTGGTATTGATGTAGGGCAGGCACTTGATAGTCAAAAACGGAAACTACCCTCCGGAGGCCTAAATAGTAGAGACAACAAATATTCTGAATTGTTAAAACACAAATTTCAATCCATAGTTGGTAGACCAAAATGGGCCAATATCAACAAATCTAAAAGTGATAGAGAATCTGATGAAGAGTTGCTGCAAACTTGCGGGTTTATTGCGAAAACTCCAACGGCACACATATTGCCCAATCTTTTGGAATTTAAAAAGGTGAAAGATTTGAACAGCGCAACTTATTCCGAGGGGCCTTTAATAAATTCCATTGAATTTCATCCAAACTCTACAGTTGCATTAGTAGCAGGTAACAAAGGTATTGCCACGTTGTATACTGTCGATGGCAAGCAAAACTCTAAACTTCACAGCATAGCTTTTGAACAGTTTCCAATACTTTGTGCAAAATTTGTCAAAACCGGAAATGAAGCAGTTTTGGGTTCCCGTTTGCCTTACATTCAAAGCTACGATCTTCTGGCTGCGAAATCAGTTCGATATAAACTACCACCAGGCATGACTCAGTGCAAGAAATTTGTAGTATCACCAGATGATAAATTTATGGCAGTGGCGGGTAAATGGGGTGAAGTTCATATTATATCAACAGTATCAAAAGAAAGAATATTTATGCTAAAACAAGATTCAGAGGTAACTGCATTGGAGTACAACCCAAAAGGTAACCTGCTTTTTGGACACAGCGACACTGGAGAAATAACAGTTTGGGACATGAACATGCAAAGAGTTAAGCACAAGTTTGCAGACGAGGGATGCCTGCAAGGAACAGCGCTTTCTGTATCGAGTTCAAATCAATTTCTTGCAGCAGGCTCTGCACAAGGTGTCGTTAATTTATATGGAATGGAAGATGTTTTGAAAAATAAATTGCCCAAACCAAGAAAAGGTATTCTTAACCTCACAACACAAATAACCGGTTTGAAATTTAACCATACCTCCGAAGTGCTGGCGTTTACATCAGTAGATATAAAAAATTCTATTCGATTATTTCATGTGGGTTCTGGAACAGTGTATAGTAATTTTCCCCCCTTTGACTCAAAATTAGGTAATTTGAATTGTATAAATTTTTCTCCAAATAGCGGCTTTCTTGCCTTAGGCAATAGAAAATCGCTTGTATCGCTGTATAGGTTGAAGCATTTCAAAAATTATTGAGTTAAATTACACCCATATCTAACCTGAAAAAAAATGTCACCCGTAGAAAGAACTTTATGTGCTCTTCTTTCCTTCCCACTCAAACCAAATTTTTATAAATAAAACTTCATTATTAAAAGAAATTTTATTATTAAAAACAAATTACATTTTAAAGTGAGCCTGAGTGTGTGAGCCTAACCTAGAACTGAAAAAATGCCGTCATCGCTATACTAATCATAATATAAACAATTAGCTAAAAAAATAGAAAATCCGCAATGTTCTAAACAGTATTAAAAGTTCCAAAGCGATTTACTAGGAATTGATGTCTAGTGCATTTAAATTGTCAGATAAATGGGTTGGTGTTGGTGGCATTTGATTTTGAAGGTTCCAATTTATTTCGTTAAAATCTATAATTATATGAGTAGTTTTTGGAACAAACTGTCTATATTTCACCCCTGCTGCATCAAACATTAATTTGGAAGCAATTGTGTGAGTTTTGTGTGCGTGTTTATCAGACATGTAGATCACTTCTTTTATACCTGCCTGAATTATGAATTTGGCACACTCGTTACAAGGAAACAGTCCGACATAAAGCGTACAATTCCTTACGTTCATCGAGTTCTTGTTCAGGATAGCATTCACCTCGGCATGGCAGACATATAGGTACTTGTTGTCCAATTCATTTTCTGATTCTTTTGCCCATGGAAAAATATCATCGGAACATCCTTTTGGCATACCATTGTATCCGACGCCGACGATTATGTTGTCTTCGTTAACTATACAAGCACCAACTTGAGAACAGGGGTCTTTGCTTCGCTTTGCTGCAAGAAACGCTGTGGCCATAAAGTACTCTGACCATTCTAAGTAATCATTACGTTTTGTATTTAAATCGCGTTTTTTCGTTGGTGTTGCCATTGCGAAACCCAAAGATCAATTTCTAGTCTACAACAGCTCTCGTCGTATTGTACAAATATTAATAAGCTACTTGTTCAGGTTAGTTTGGATGACTTGGATACAACTATGTCTCATAAAAATGCAATTAGTTCAATGCCCGTCTGGTTTTAAAAACTGAATACCAATCAATAATCAGGAAATATTTATTTTTGAGGCAATTACTTTAACTTTTGAGTATTCGGTTTAACTTAGGTTAGGCTAATAAGAACTTTAATATTGGCGTTATTACATAACAGGAAAAAATATACGCCTAACTTTTCAACAACAAGCAACTATAAAAATATGTATACAATTTTTCTAATGAAATTTCACAAACATAGGAAATCAATATAATTATAATTATGTTAATATTATTTAATAATAATGTTACTTCATCAAGTAGATTCAACAAAAAAAATAAAAGCTCCCTATAATAGGTAGCTAGACAACAAATATGGATAATTTAGTTTTATTTAGCTGACAATTTTACAAAAAGAGCAACGCATCCGCTAAAACGCACCTTACACTTCGCTATCGATTTCAAATAAAAGAACCCCGAAATTTTATAATGAGAGTAATTGAAATTGGCGCCAAAGGTGACGTGGAGTTCCGCTTGTCACTAAATGACTCGACAAAAAGATCCTACGCCGTTCGCTGCAACTGCCACGAGAAGACGCTCAAATGGAACTGAGTGTTTTTCGTAGTTGTAAATTCGCCCCAAACGAACATTAAAAAAACACGTTAAGTTAATAGTTGGGAGATTCCGAGTTTGTTTCATACGCTTTTCTGCATTTGTGCCGTTCGTATCCTACGCGCAGCTGTTGGCACAACCGCACCGATCATGCGCATTTCATTGTTCAGTTGGGTCTCGGAAAATGGCGTCAGCTAAGTTTCTCGAGGAAGCTCTTAGTACGGATGTCGATGAATCGGCTGTAAGTGCGATTGTGGGCTCCTTAGAGAATCAGCTGGTCACTTCGACACCCCAGGGACCTGGACAAACGGGCGCAACGTTGGTGCTTAATCAAAACCACGTAAACAGTGCAATATCAAACGGCGGGACTGTTGCCCCACAGAAACATGGGACTATCGCCAACGGTGATGCGATCAGTGGCAGTGCTGTGAGTGTGAACGACGCCAGTAAACAAATGACGAATAATGCGACGTTTATAACGAGCTCGGCGGCGCAGACGGCCGCGGGGGCAGTGACCACGGGGGGGTACACGGGTAATATACAGGATTCAATCAAGCAGGAGGCGGTAAAGATCGTCTATTCTCAAAGTCAACCGACTGCGGTGGGTCAGGTTATGTCGGGGCAAGGAGCAATCATCCAAAACAGAGTTTCAATGTCGAATCAGTCATTGCCCAATGGCACAATAGGCCTTTCGCCCCAGACGGTACTCCAAACGACGCCGTCTAATGTACAACAGTCTAAACAACCCACGATAGTGCTAAAGACTACCGGGTCACCCGCGGGGGCTCCGGGCCTGGTAACTGTGCCCATGAACGCGGTTACCTCTCCGATGGCCCAGGCTAATAACGTAGGTAGCCCTAGCACTCAATCCCCAAATATCCTATCCAATATCCAGGTTGTAAATGTACGTCCTGGAATTCCTACTCAGCAGCAGAAAGGTCAACCAGCTCGCGTAGTGCTTAGTGCACCTCAGTTAGTTGGGGCCCGAACTGGAGCTCCAGTAAGTGAACGTAACAAAAAAAAGATCAAATGGAAAGGTTGTACTGTTTTGCTTGTCTCGAATGCTACAATTAACACGCCGCTAACTTTTTCAATTTGGACTTTTCCATTTGATAAAAAACAAATCATTGTATCGTCCTAAGCCTGGATAGTTCAATTTGGGAAAAAACTGAGCGATAGTTTTGCTGGACTGGCACGATAAACAAAAAGATGAAGGTTATGTAAACAAGTATAACCTTGAAGGGGCTTTTTTGTTTTTCTGGTCCGCAGCTAGTCCCGCTTTTGGAAACTATCACAGATTTTTTTTCAAGCGCAACTAATCCAGTGTAGTAGCTGATTTTGTTTGGTTTTGTTAAAAAAGTCGTAATTTTGCTGGTTGTTTTCGTTAATGCTTGTTTCTATTAATTATTTTACTAATAGTCTTTTACCTACTAATTGGTGCTGGATAACTAATTTTTAAGTATTAGTTTTTTTTCTGTTTTTCCGCTTGATTAGCTAAAAAAAGACTATCGATCACATTATTATATTTTGGTACCCGCTGTGACCTAACCTAACTTTTGTCAATGTTTATTCCCGCCTTGGGCCGACAAAGTTCCATTTCATTAGTTCGTTAGCTCAAAATTAGATTTTAACAGAGGATTTAAGCAAACAAACAAAGAAGGCCATCACCTTCTAGAGCTTTCAAACATAAAGTGTACGATATATAGGGGTAGGCTTTGATTTCATTTAAGATATGGCGGACCATTTTCGCTTAAACATTTATATCTAGTAGATGAATTTGTTTCGCTTGTTTTTTGTGCGTTTTGTAGAGTAGATTGTACCCGTATCGTTGAGTTTACAGGGAACCGTGTCGTGTCCGCGTCTAAAAGTGTGCTTGTCTCGATGTTTTAGCAATTAACTTTACAATCGTTTCATGGTTTACAACCTGGTCAGCAAGGGGCGTTGCTACTCAAAACCGAAAATGGTCAGTACCAACTTTTGCGGGTGGGACCGGCCCCTCAGACCGCTAACCTTACAAATTCGACTCAACCGGCTGGACAACCTGTTACTTTTCGCATGCAAACTGTTCCTACGGTGAGTAACTTTGGATTTTGTGGTTAGGTTCTGTGTTAACGTTAAAACTAACAGAAGGAGATACATCGAAAATGCGATTTTCTCGTGCTTCAATAGTAGTTCCAGTTTTTTTTTGTATGTATGTGGTGCGCGTGTTGATTTTAGTGTTTCAAGTTTGACAAATTGTGTACACACTATACATTAATATATTTATTGGACATTTGGTAATTTTTATAGATAAAAAATGTCTTGTTGCTGAGCGTGAAACCTCAATGAATAGGCTAAAAAATTGATAGATCAAATGTGACTCAGTTTCTTTGAAGTAAATAGTACACAAAAATGTGCATCAGTTTGATAAAATTTAACATACCTTAAAGTATGAGTAACAAAATATCAAAAAATATGAAATGTCTGGATGCGTTTGCATTCGATGAAAACTCCATTTAGTAAACAAAGCAATAATAGTAATAACCTATGTGAACCTACAATTAATTAACACATTATGACCAGTAATTAGTTTTTCGAAGTTAGAACATTATCAATTACAATAAATATGCATACCCTTTTGTCAACATTGCGATTTATCCCCTAGTTAGCTTCTATTGTGCACATGCTGTGATTATCAATAGTAGGTATCTAAAAATTATTGTAAAAAAAGATCAGAATTAGAAATTCAAAAGCAATGACAAAATTTACTAATTAATGCACAATAATTAATTTAGTATGAGTATTTGAAAATATGTTTTTTCGCAAACCTCTGGTAAAACTTGATATTGCAGTTTCTTGTAGAATAATATATCTTTTTGATATTAAATATTACCTTGGGTGTATGAAAAGGATCCAGTCATTTAACGTTGTTATTTGCGAATTTAAACAATATTTCGTATTATGGTTATATGATGAATATTCACTGCATGTTTTTTGGGTTGTTCTAGGTTGTTGATATAATCTCCTCTGGCAATTTTTTTAATTTAACAAAATGGTAATTTTTGTTTTTTCTTATTTCGAAAAATGATATCATTTTATGACCTCATAATGATTTCATAAAAGTATGGGTGCCGGTTAAAGAAAAAAATTTTGCCATGGGCATATATTATATTGAAAAAAAAATCCTTTTAATTTTGCAAATAAGAAAAACAACACAAATTTACTATGTTTTCTTCTGCTTCGCGCAAGGCTGTATCTAGCGCTAGCTCGAATCCAGGCCAAGCTGGAGGAACGACAACAGTGACATCTACCCAACCCATCGTTCAGCAGACGCAACCCGTCCAGGTGGGCCCTATTTTTTAAAAAAATTTCGCGCCTTCGAAAATAAGCCTGTATTATATCCTTTAGAGACCGGCGAACGACAATACCAAAGAAAAATGCCGCAAGTTCCTCGCGAACCTGCTAGAACTGTCCAGTAGGGAACCGAAATCGGTCGAGAGAAACGTCAGGACGTTGATCCAGGAACTCATCGATAACAAGGTGGAACCCGAAGATTTTTGCGATAAGCTGGAGAGGCTTCTAAACGCGTCACCTCAGCCGTGCCTCATTGGATTTCTAAAGGTAGGTACCCGTTGATCTACTCCCTTTTGGAGCCCTCTCAGGGAATTGAAATTTGAATCTTTGCAGAAAAGTCTGCCCCTTCTGCGTTATTCCTTGGCCACCCATGAGATGACCATCGATGGTATCAGACCGCCTCCTCCTGGAGTGGTTTTCTCTATAGCCGGTGCTACTCCGACCGTTCAGACCGTCAGGCCTGCAGGAGTGGCTTCCAACCAGCAGGTACGCATCGTGGGGCCCGGCGCGACGGTGGTGAGACCCGGGACTCCCGCGGTGCTCCAGCAGAGATTGGTAACGCCCATAAGGGCGCCCGTACAGCAACCGAGGATGGTGAGTTTGGGTTATGTTGTTGGTTCAATGAGACAAAAATAATTTTATATATTAATAAGCCTTAATTCATAACCTTCTAGCCTTGTAGTGAGACCCCTTATTTTTGTGACTACATGGAGCTTTTAAAATAGGGTAGGCATGATCTCTGGGGATGCAAATTGCAAATGTATCTATTAAGGCGTTTTATGATAGGAATACACAATTTGCAAATGAGGAGGTTCCCCAAACATTGCATATTAAAAAGTTTTGCATAGTTTCATGAGACGGTCGATCTCTCAACCCCATTATTACAGCACAATTGTTGTTTAATTTGGACAAGAGCTTGGGTTTTGAACGTAGCGTTCGTTATATTAAATTTTTATTAAATTATACCATCTACTAAATGTACCTGGATTAAATTCCAGTAATTCCAAAAGATGAGCCGCAAATTCTTAACACTATCAAAATGTAGATTTGTTCATTTATTAAAACAACTATTTATTAGCTCTACTTAAAAAGAAGCTTAAAATCTAACTACAATGTATCTAAAAATTCGGAAATAATATTTTTCTGTTATTAAATATATCTATATATAATTAGAGATTTCAACTGGTAATTAATTTTAGGAGTACTCTCGATGGTAAAGATCCTGTTGCCTTACAAAAGTCCTTTGAGACACTTATCATCTATATATATTTATTATTCTACCATAATTAGGTTGTGGCGTGAATTTTTTTTGTGTAATTGACCGAAATAATTTTAAAAATACCATGAAATTTATATTTATTTATAATTATTTATATGTAGTCAATATTATTATTCGGGTCCCCGAAACGCTTAGTGTCGTATTGGTGTATCCTTTGAATAGGGTTATAGGGATAGCAAACGCATAATAATTCATTAGAAAATACATATTATTATGAAATAATGATAAGTAACACTTTACAATTGCAAGATGTCATTTAAAACATTTATTACAAATTGCAATTAAGAAGTGGTCAAGTGGTTAGGACCTAAAATGCTTCATTTCGAAGATTGAAGGTATTGGAATATTGATGAAAGATCCTTTCTAGATTTTGTTTTCAACCTTGTAAGGTATTATAATTAATTATAATTAAATGAATTAATATTAATATTATTATTATTGTTATGTAAATAAAAGCAAAATTTAAATAACGCTAATTATCTTAATTTAGTCTGCAAATCTCAGGTATACCTGCAAACAAAGAATTTTTTTTTGCGAAAAGAGCACGTTTTAGTATAATACTGAAGAAACCATTCTTGTTTAGAATTGACCAGGGTATTTAAATTTATAAAGAAAATTGCGACAAACCATTTTTTATTATTTAAATTAATTAAAATCTCACGAACGCCTCGAACAAAAACAAGTTTTTCCATGCTGTAAATTGCTTCTTAATCCGGAATAATACCTCAATCGAGATGAGATTTTTTTTTTAAATAAGAAATAACGATATTTTTTGCAATATATTTCAACAACTTGTATCTCCTAAATGAAGCCTTTTAAGACTTTTTTTACCTATCTTTATTCTCTGAATACTCCGTTTTTATAAGTACTTATGATGGAAAATTGATCCCTGAAACGAATTCTTTAAAATTTTGATTTTAACATTTTTTTTATAATGAAAATTTTAAGCACTTTTAATTAAAAAATGGATTAAAAATCAACCGTAAGAGATAAATTTATGAAATTTTGCAGCATCCATGGTCAAATGTACTTTAAGAATATATTAACGCCTCGAACTGCATTGACGATTTTATCAGTGATAATTTAAAATAATAATACAAAATATTATTACAAAACAAATTTTGTTATTATTATTATTAATAAAATTTTATTTTTTTAACAATGTTCAAATTTTATTATTATTTTTACCAAACAGCGTAAATTTAGAAAAAAATAATCAACTTTAAATTTTTAAAACTGTTACGGTCTATATTTATTTTTTCTAGGTAAGAAAATTATTATTTTCAAATTTGCTAGTCAACACTCCATCTTTAGTTAACAAAAGAAAAACCGCTCCGTTACGATTTTCATTTGTTTTTCGCGTATCCTAGTAAGTAACAAAATCATTTCAGAAGTCCTGATAAAAATAAGCACATAACAACCCCACTTTCCTTTTTTCATTGGCCCCAAAGTTCTTTTTAAAAAAATACCAACCAATATTCGAACGCTTAACTACATAAAAATATATTCGCAAATTTTATTATTACAAACCATTGGAAAATTTTTCACTAGAATGCAGGCTCGTTTCAGAGGATGAAAAAGTATTTATTTAAAAAAAAAAGTTAAAAAAAAATAATTGACGACAAATTTACAATTTAATTATTTAAGCTTGTTTATTGCTAAAAAAATAAAATTTTATTCATAATAATTATAATAAAATATTTTGTATTATTGTATTGTATTATTATCATAAATTTATCTCTTACGGTTGATTTTTAATCCATTTTTTAATTAAAAGCGCTTAAAATTTTCATTGTAAAAAAATGTTGTTAAAATCAAAATTTTAAAAACTCGTTTGCGGGATCAATTTTCCATCATAAATACTTATGAAAAATATATATAGATTAATTTTTTATGATCAAGTGGTAAATGGGGGGTCCTCTTGACGTGATCCTATTCATTATAATTCGGACCAGCATGTATTTAGTATAAAAAGGCTTCCAAAATAATACGAAACGAATTTTTTGCATTTGTAATTAGAATCCAATATCTCTACATGCTCTTCCTACTTGTTGAACGTTAGTTTTGTATCAAATGTCAAGGTTTTTTTTTTTCAGTAACTGATTTAATAGTAATTTTATTAAATTTTTATTAAAAAAAAATTGTCTTTTTACGTATGTAAATGACTATAGGGCTACACTTTTTGAGTTTAAAATCTTAGAAACTAACGTTTGACCACTTTAATATTTTATTAACAATTTTATAATGAAATTATTATTATTATTAAACGTGGACGATTGTTCCGCTACAAATATTTCGGTCGATTTTGCACTGTCGCGTATGGTTCTCAGGTGACGGCGATCCGACAACCGGGCACCGCGATCTCCGGCACCTCACCAGGTAACACGGTGATGGTGTCGAATTCGCAACCGCCCGTGTTGCATCCCGTGTACCCAGGGTCGGCCCCCTCCGTCAACCAACTGAATCAGGTGCAACAGCAGAGACCTAGCGCCCCGAGGCCCGTCCAGGTCCGTCCGGCTGGACAAGGGCGACCTCTTCCCGCCCGCGCGCAGATACCCAACCAAGGCAAGTTGCAAAGCGCGGGTGGGGGTAAAATGGCGAATGTGGCGGGAAGTAAGCCAGCTATCGGATCCGGAGCGAACAGGCCTAATGCGAAAGAGAAAGGTACGCCAACGGTGTTGTTTTTGATATGACATGATGTGGTCTTTACCAACTACATTTTACAAAAAAATAATTGTAGCAAATCAAAAAGTCGCATCATAAAAATTTAAAAACTTAACCTTAAAATTAAAAAAAAAATCTAGCTTTGTTTTATTTTAAATTGATACCCTTTACGTGGATAGGGAGAAAGAGGTAAATGTCCATTTTTGAAAAAATACGATATTTGTCTTATTGTAGGAGCTGGAATGTTCAAATTTTCATTATATAGATAAATGGATATGGATGCTAAAAATGGCACAAAAATGTAGGGCTACCATGTTGCGGCAACATAACATATCGAATATCTACATTTTCAAAATCCTCTTTAAAAGTGATTTTCAACCATGTGTAACATATTTACGTTTGGTCAAGATTAATCTTAATTAATTATTTTTAAAGGAGTCAATAAAATTGAAGAGACAGGATGGAGAAAAGAAGTCAGTAAAATTTTCATACATACTTCAAAGAAATTGTTTCTCTTATGAGCGCCATATTGAATTTCTTCATTTTCAAAATGATCTTCATTCTCAATGCTCCATTCTCTTAACAGTATCGCCATCCTGAAGGCGCTGGCAATTCCGTTCATGGTAAGGACGATATCTATGACGCTTTGAAATGCAGTTCACTGTTGTCTGTTTAATCTGACCTAAAGATGTACGAGGTGTCTCGACCACGCTTTGCAAGATCAAATTTTCTTTATTTTCATCTGTATGTTTGTTTCTTTTTACTTTAGCAAAACTCCCGTGGGTGACAAGGTTGTCTTTCCGACCCCTAACCAAAGCTCTGCCCGGTTTAAGTCTGCGGATATTTATTTAAATACATTTCTTCGGCTTTTCCTCCGTTTCTACGGCAAAGAATAAAATACTCCGTACTTATCACTATCACTTTCAAAGCCTACTATCTTAAAATCTTATTTTTGTTATTTTTTTCGAATTTATCTTGACCACACATGTTACAAATGGTTGAAAAGCAAAAATTGACTTCGGCCGTATCCAACATAGTGGGTCATATCCATTTATCCATATCCTGAAAATGTCAGCTCCTATGAAAAGGAAAATATTGTGGTTTTTCAAAAATAGACATTTTCCTTTTTCACCCTGTATCTGCGTAAGGGTATCGATTTCAAATAAAACAAAGCTAGATTATTTTTTGGCATATAGTTACTCTACTTTTCTTCCATTATCCAATATCCCCATGTACTTATACTGGACACCCTGTATATAAAAAAAACCTGGCAGTGGAAATTAAACTATCAAAAACTGAGATGTCCGCGTAAGATTTTACTTTGTCTTTAAATTCAACAATAGAGTAGAAACAGTGAAGGAGTAGGTACTTCTTAACTTCCTTTTTAAAGATCTAAAGCATCTAAGGATCTCACGAAGATTATATAAATGAAAATCAAGACCACTGGTGATAGACATTTTCAATGTGAGACAGGGTTTTATAAAATTATATTATTTATGGTCGCTGATTCCATTAATTATATATAAAATTGTATCATCTTATTTAAGATTTGTCCAAAAAAAAAAAGCGCTGCCTTTTTACACTAAATTTAACAACGTAAACAATTATGGATATCCAACATACACATATACATAAATATTCGGCCATATGGACAACGCAAGTGCGATAAAGATACACCGAGTTTTTTGAGTAATGGAAACGAGAGATAATAATAATATTTGCGTCTTTAGGTTAAATTCGATCTGTAATAAATTAAAATTATAGATAGAAATATGATTTATCAAACTGGTATTGTGCCATTTGTTGTTGTTATCGCGGAGGATCTCACTTATTATTGAACCGTGCTCGATTTTCGTGAAACAAAATGTGGTTTCGTTTTTGAGATACAGGGTAAAACGGAAAATTTGGACATTTCAGTTAACCCTTGTATTTTAAACATCCTATATCGAAATGAAATGATTAAATGAAAAAAAATCATTTACATGATGTACTCAGATTTTTATTATTTTTAAGATACGAGCTTGCAGATATATTTTTATACCCCTATCAAAAATTGTCACGATATGTTTTTTTTAAATATATCTATTATGACATTTTAGAAAATATTTCTCGATTCTCATAAAAAAAAAACAACACAACAAAAACAAACTACAAAATGCTATTTAAAACTGGGTGAATTCTTCTGTGGGTAAAAATGCTTTTGTCGAATTTAAAAATGCAAATATATTCTACATATAACATTGCTATGTATTTAAAAAAATATTTTGACAATTACAAAGTCAGCTAGGATTATTTTGTAAACGGCACTTTTTGTTTTGCGTAAATCGAGCACACTCTCTAATAAATAATAACCGAGAATACAGAGATATCTCGAGAACGAGGACACACAAATATCTCATTACGGTGATGTTTTGTATGTAAAATATTTTCGTTACGGGACTGGAAAAAATATGGGGAAATTTTAATAATTTTCGAAATTTGATGAAAAATTATTAAACTATTTTGAAAATCGAAAGTTGCTTTACAAATTTTACTAAGTAACTGAAAATATATATTTTTGCTACTTTGTTCCATCTTGTCGATTTACTGGCGATTATTATTCCTAGAAACTAAAAAATTAAGCACTTTATCTCTCTCTACATGAATATTAGAAGGGCCATAGAGGCCTTTGCTAATGACTTAGTCGTTCGGGTAACGGCGCGCGTCAAATTTGACACCTATCGCGTACTACTTTGAATGTGCGCCGTTGCAGAGAAGAAGAGTTTTTCGGCGGCTTATGCGGGAGACGACGATATCAACGACGTGGCCGCGATGGGCGGGGTCAATCTCGCGGAGGAGACCCAAAAAATTCTCGGCTCGACGGAATTCGTCGGCACGCAGATCCGGTCCTGCAAGGAGGAGATTATGTGCTCGATGGGCCAGTTACAGCTCAAGGTAAGCCTGCTTACTTTGATTACGCTCCACCCCACAGTAGCGTGGTCATACCATACCGTGCTGCGGAAACATAAAATTAATAATCTTGTTTTTGAATTTCGATTTAGAAAATTTACATTTAACATTGAAAACAAAACGACAATAAATGATAAAAAAAAATGTATTCTTTTAGTTGAATATCGAAAGGTATTGCCTCCTTTACAATTCGGGATGTATTGGTAAAGAATTTTATTGTTTTGAACTGTTGTTGCTAATTAAAAAAATATTTTCTGTAAATAATAATTAATAATAAACCAGAAAATCACGTATTTACTGTTTAAATTTCGTCCTAATTATTCAGTATGGCAGCAACTTTTTAATTCAAATTTAATTTAAATAACTATGAAAAAGACACTTTTTACTGACCTTTAAAATTTTTAATTCACTTTTCTTAAAAAAAGTCAAATATTACCCATTGAATTAAAAGATGTGCAGAGTGAATAAAGTACGTGTCTGTGACCAAACATCGGGAGGTGTTCCTTTGATTAATAGGGATAGTGTGTATGATATTTTCGATTGTATCAATCACAAGAATTTTGTTTCTATCACAATTATATTTGTTCTAGGCGATTTTGATGAAAATTTATTGTAGTATTTTATTATTTATTTAAATTAATGAAAATGTCTTAGAAATTTAAAAAATACTTATTATAATAAACTTAAAATCACCAGCAAAGCGGAGGTAAACTGTCCTTATAAATTTTGAACGGATTTATTTGTAAGTTGTATTTTTTTTTGTATCCAACGACCATTCACAGATTTCGTTTATCAAGAAGAGGTGGCATTGTTTTAGAAAATTTTAATCATTTTTTTCTAGTAAAGATTGGCTTCATTCCACTGCCACTGCACGCAATAGCCATTTTCCTTTTCATCCTTAAGTAGTTCAAATGTACATGCTTTTAACGCAGACCAATCGAAATGTTCAACCATTCATATTTTGGTTTGCTATTGTAAAAATTTATTCCAAATAATCTTTATGGTATTAACTTGCAGTTAAACACAAGGTGGGATTTTGTTAGTTTTTTTTTTTTTTTTTCAAATAAATTTATTGACAAGTCTTACAGTCGTCCTTACATAATACATATAGCTATAATTTCAAATCAGTGAAATACTGGTAATCTTAAAAAGAAAATTTAGAACATTAACAAACATTTACACATTCAAGTTTTCATCGTCACATTAACCATACATATATTTTTGGTATACCTATATAAATTTCTTGTAGGTCTACAAGTTCTGTCCACCCAGCTTGTCGGTCCCTCTATAATATTTTCTTTAAATCTATTAATTTTCATGTTTTTTGACATGGCATCAGTCGATGAATTGAATGTTTTAATAGTTTTACTTATAAGGTTCATTACATTATGCATTATTATATAATTATATTGCGTGTGTGAAGCTCGTGAAGCTTTAAATAAATTTGTTCTGTTCTATTTTCAATATTTACTGCCTGTGTTTTCATGTACTAAATTCATTTATGTTCTATAATCGGGGGGAAATAAAATTTTTGACTACTTTATTTTGTAGTTTTTGCATTTTACTAAAACAAGGTTATTCCCCCATTGGAATAAGGTGCCTAAATATTATCAAAATATGTGTGTTATATATTGGATACAATGAAAATATATTAAAAACATGCCTACATCTTTATATCGGTATAATTTTAGTTTTTATATCTTCAAAGTGAACCTCCCACCCCGTTTGGTTTTTCATCTAAGATGGGGCCTAGATGTTTTGCTTTATTTAATTAATTCGTTGTTTTCTTGAAAACACATTTCCTAAGTTCTTAACGTTTATTATCAACTATTTCCTTCCGTATTTTCATTAATCATAAAAATTCCTTATGTATGTAATCATTATTTTTTCTGCGTTGCGTTTTATGCTATATCCATGAGTTGCCCTACTTTTACGCTACCGGATTACTTCTATAAGTTTATTGAATTACCTGGGACGACAAAAACTGCGTTGCCAATTGTCAAGAAATAGGTTTTTGATTCGAGACACCTTTTTGCGCTCTTATCTTATTATCCTTTACAGATGGAGAATTTGTTAATACTTCTTTCTATGGAAACAACTTATATCACAGCTAATGTTTTTTTTCCTTAGTGCATGATCTATAACAGATGCTAACTTGTCTGTAACGCTTGTTTTTTCGAAGATTACTAACAGTTAAAAATTAATAAAAAAAATGACATTAAATATTGTTCGCGTCCGTCCACCCTCCGATTCTCCATGGTCGCCCTTCGTTGTTTCAGATTAGGAAAATTATGCAAAATCACGGGCTGGACGAGCCGGCGACGGGCGACGTCGCGGCGTGCGTCTCTCACGCCGCCCAAGAGAGACTGAAGGACCTTATCGAGAAGCTGGCCATCATCACCGAGCATCGGCTGGAGATGGTAAAGAGCGACATGCGCTACGAAATCACGAACGACGTGAAAGGTATTGCCGTGCGGTGGTGGTAGCGGGAATGAAGGTGACCGTCGAGTTGTTTTTTTTTTTTTTGCGTCGCAGGTCAGCTGAAATTCCTCGAGGACGTCGACAAGACGGAGAGGAAGAAACGCGAGGAGTTGGAACGGGAGATGCTGCTCAGAGCGGCGAAGAGCCGCTCGAAAACGGAAGATCCCGAGCAGGCCAAACTGAAGGCGAAAGCGAAAGAGATGCAGCGCGTCGAGATGGAAGAGCTGAGGCAGCGGGAGGCGAACGCTACCGCCCTCCAGGCGATCGGGCCGCGGAAAAAACCGAGACTCGACGGCGAGGGTATCGGCAACGCGCAGGTACGCCGATTTTGCTGCGCACTTTATTTGGAACATTGAAGTGACTCAACAAGTCCATTCACAATGCCCACAGGACACGCTAACATTTATCCAGTACATCGGATCATGTAATCCAGTCAGATATGAGTGTTCCCCAAATAAGCTTCTGGGAAATGTAATGTGTAATAATAATAATAATAATTTGATTTTTATTATCAGTGTATTATGGATAATAAAAATGCACCACAATACAGTGATAACAAACATTAATATGTAAAATATTCCTTTAAATTACAAAAACAGTTTTGTTTTAGCTCTGGGGAAAGTTTTATGTAGACTAACACGTCTAATTTTTTTTTTTTTTTTTTTTGAAAATTCTAGTCTGTTTTTTGTTTTATAGAGAAACAGTCTTTGTTACGTGTATTATGGTCGTGAAAATCTCCGTAAGTTATTTGCACCCATAAAGAGACTTCTAATATGTATACACGAACTATCCGGCGATACATCCGAAGACTTTTTTTGGGATTTGGAACCAGATATCGCATGACTTGATTTAAGTTGAGCAAGATAGGATTTCGTCGAGTTCTAGTCCCAAAAATTTAGTGTGCTTTTTTTATTTCAACGGCCTCCCCGGCCGGGTGGACATTCAGAGAACGGTATTTTTTTTGTTTTGTGGGCATTTGAATATCAGTACACTTGTTTTTTGAACATTCAAAAAGAGTTCGTTGGTGTTAAACTCGCTATTTAGCATTACATGTGCTGAATTTATTCCGTCTTCAAGAGTTTGATAACAGCGAGAAGAGATTAAACTTGAACAGACGTCAGCGAATTCTGATAAACCCAAACTAGGCATTGATAACAAAGATAAATAAATGTTATTTAGTGTGTTGGGGTTTTGGTTAAAGTTTCCTTCTTAAATTTCGTGCCTGACTATTATCAAAAGCTATTTTACCTGTCGCCAGTATCATCTCGGCGTTGGCGTGCTAGCGAGACTAGCTCTAGCGCTACCAGACACATGTAAATCTGCTCTTACAAAGATAAATGGTTCTAGCTAATCCCGCTTTATTACGAGTGGCATTGTGGTACTGTATTGCCGTTTATAAATGACAAATCGCTGACCTGATCGCAAAGTCATCAACAAGTGAAATGGTTGAATGCGCTCTTCAAGTGTCAAAAATATTATCTGTTTTGGATCTTTGGACCAATTGGTGACACAGAATAACAACTCTTGTTATATCCCAAAATGTAGCTGGTTCCGATGGACCCTTGCAACTCTTCATTCCCACATTCCATATAAATGTAGACTAGCGTCTAGCGTAGAATAACGTCTAGTCTCCCGCGGGTCCACGGGCCACTTGGGAACCACTAGACGCAGATAAAGTAGAAACAGAGAATCAATCAAAGTTGAAGTGGATACTCGCACTTTTGTCTTTTTTTTTTCTTGATGCGTTAGTATCGGTGATCGATGTTACCTATGACTTTTCTGGGAACAACGTTGGTTACTAAAAAAGACAATTATCATGGATGATGCGGAATTCTATCATCTAATTTCTGAAAAATAAAGCAACTGGTGAAGACCGTAAGTTTCTTCTATGTTTTATCTAAGTGTTGATGGAAAACAATACAATGTACAGGGTGAGTCAATGATACAGTAAAGTTAATTATCTCATTGGTTTCAAGAGTTATGAGAATATGGTAAATACGAAAGTTTAGAGATTGTTAGGATGCACAATTTTAAATTATTTTATAATATACAGGGTTAAATAAAACATATCGTTTTTAAATGGAACAAGTTCTGCAAGTTTTTTTTTTTTTTTTCATTAATAATGATACATAGTTCAACCTAATAATTGTTCCAATATTTTAATTTTTCTAATAAAATACTACCCTTCACACTTACGATGGCGCCATTATTTTTGAAGATACATACGTATTTGACAACGGAACTTGAATTAGAGGCTACAGGGTGTTCAAAATAAACCAATATATAAATGTAGGCACACATATTATTATTTTTTCTGAATTTATTTTAACTTTCCAATATTTGCCCTTCTTTCTGTTTAGTATGACTATTAGAAAACAGGGCTCTCTTGTGATTAAAAAATGAACAGGAAAAACAATTTTGGGATGGATCAGCTAGCTACTCAACGGCTTGAAGATTATTTTGAACTTAAAGTGAAATTTCTATTTCTTTTTCCTCATTTGTATCATTCTGGTTGACCACTTTTGGTTTGTCATATTTAATACTACCACTAGCGTCAGACCATCCCATTAAACACTGAAAAGATTGTCAAGTTGGTATAAGTCTATTGGAGTACTTCGCCTTGTAAAGCCTTACTATAGTATTGAACTGAGGTGGCTTTTACTTGATGAAAAATGTCTTTATCAAATGTGATTTGATAAAGACACGGTGTTGAAACAATTGTCATGTCATAATATATAATTTCGTTTAAATCTGAACTTTTATTTCTTATTTATTTTTTTTCTTACTATAGTATATAAATGATATCAATTAATACAGCTTTAGGAAAATCATACTTATTTTCTTTACTTACACAAGTATTAAAAATAGGTATATAATATACTTAATAAAAGTTCTAAGTTTTTTGTAACACCATTGCGACAAAATAATAATATATATGATGTGCCATTTATGAAAATCCAGATACAAATTTTTTTGCATATACATTTACCTAGTATTTACTAACATGTTTGTGTTACATTTTTACGAAAATATTATCCTTATTGTTTCTAACTTCAAGTAAATGACCAATGCAAAGAAAATAAATTGTTCCTTTCAATCAAATTTTTTTATTATTACTACACAAAAGAACCGAGCAAAGAATATTTTATATTTGTTGAGAAGCGGGTTGAAAAAAAAATGTGCGTACGTTTCAGATGAACGTGACGGGCACCAACAACAACCCCAGGAGCCAGATGCCCCTGCGGCAACGGATAAAGAAGGTAACGTTGAGGGACCTTCAGTTCCTGTTCGAGTCGGAAAAAGATTTGTGCCGCGGCACGCTCCTGTTCAAGTCGTACCTTAAGTGATGCTTGCTACTTGTTAGTGTTGTGATATTTGTTGGAGATAACTTGGGTTTTGCGTACGGTCGCGTAGGTTTGCTATCGGTGACCCGTTAATGGCGAGGTTAGGGGACGAAGGGCGTGGCCGACTCTACGAGGCGGGAGTTTTTTTTTTTTTTCATTTTTCATTTACTTTAATCTAACTTAAATTACGTCAGACGTGGAAAATTAAAGACGGTTTAAGCTTTTGGACCGTTTTACCTAAACGATGAATGATGAGATGAATTCGATAAAGGACAAAAAATTGGAGAACCACAATGATATCTCTCGCCTGGTTTGTTGCCTTGTAGTTGGCTGGTCCTTCGTTTACACAAACATGAAGACTAAGTGTGAATTTTAAGGGGGAACCACGGTAGTTTCGTCAAAAGTTTCGTTGCGGTTTATTTGTACATATACATATATATATACACCGTTGATCTCGCAAAGCGCACTTATCACCGAGCAAATTGTAATTTCGTGTTCTACTACCGGAGGGTCGTTAAATTCGAAAATTCTCACGCCATTTAAATGTTTTGTATCAAAACAATTCGCCAGTCGGGGAAAAAAATTAATCCTTAGAGGGTTGTGTGTGTGCGCGTCTGTGTGTATGCGGTTATGCCGAGGCCCTTTCTAAATCAAAATTTCTCGTCACGCGAGTTTGTGGGGACGGTGTTATTCGTCGGTGGTCCAAAAATATATGAACCCCTCGCGTTGCTATTTTTTTTCTTCTTGGGGACCAATACATTAAAAAGCAAGAAAAAGTGAAGCGTCTTACCGTTGGTAACCGGTTTCGGGAGTTTTTAGTTTTTCCGACGAATGCGGCCGTTTCCGGGATAACACGTTCCCCGCAAAAGGACCGCGTAATATTGTTTCATTCTTTTTATTTCTATTCCTTTCGTTGTTGATTACTTGATAAGGCGTTCGTCTTCGTGTATATAAAAAAGTAAGAAAATATATTATTGCAAAGTGGAAAAAAATAATATGTTTTTTTTTTGTACTCCAAGTGTAAATTGTAAATATTTGTAGATTTTTCTATAACGATGGTCGTTTTCTTTATAAGAAAATATTTTAAACAAGAAATATGTTAATATGTAATTAGTTGTATAATTGTTTTCTTTTTAATGTAACTACTGAATATAGATATATAATTTTTGTTATAGAATAATATTTAATATAAAATAAAAATACAAACTTGGAATCAGTCTAGTTTTTGTTGTATATACATTATCGAGTCTTTGTCCACCAATGAAAATTTTTTTATATTTATTTTGTAATGATAATCGTTCCATATCTATTTTTATTAAATTGTTTTTAAAAAATATATATACGTGTTGTTTTTCGGGAACCCTGATTATCGAACTTATGGATTTATTCTTCTAGAAGTGAATTATTAATAAAAGTAAAAGTGTTCCAAAGACCAAAGGGTTTGGTAAGTGACGTGTCTATATTCCCAATATTAAAATTGATTCTTGCTTACCCAGTAAAAATTTTATTTTTGGAAAATTGTATTAATTAATTAATTAAAACTAATGTCAATCACGGTTCACGTTTTGGTTACCCTTACCCTTACGTCACACTTAAAGCAGTATGTAGTGTACCTGTAGAACAGGTGATGCATCGCTAATGGTACTTTAAATAAGATACGGGTGCAGTGTCAGTCTTGGAAACATTTAGGGTCGACTGATTTATGGTATCTACAGTGATTGAACACATCTTATCGAGACAAGACCGGTAAGCGGGCAATAAAATGGAGGAATTTATAAAGGAAATATCAAAAACATTCAATATGGGAGATTTAAAATGTCGTTTTTAACCAATAACATTGCTGCATCCAACAAACAACATGGCCTCTGACAGACTGTCACCAAGTTTTTATGCGCCTTTTTGGTATTTTCTCAGAATATCCCTAGATTTCGTTAAATGTGCGAAAACGTGGAAATCGCGATTTAGAAAGAAAATGGCAGTGCTGCGCTGACAATCATTCTTTTCTACTAATTTTTACCGGAGTAGGTAGTGCTACTATATATTATATAATTGCTATATGGTGGCCTGGCCCTTCTGCTGCTGCATATCCACTAATATTACATTTGTCCACTCTTCTTCATTCTGTATGATTGCGTCCAGCAAGATCAAACTCGTATTTCTTGCAATCCATCTGATCCTCAATATACGCCTATAGATCCACATTTCGAATTCTTCAATATTTTTCATATTGCTCACCTTTAGTGAACATCCCTCCATACCATACTATGGACGCACTTGTTTTCAATTCGATATTTGATTCCAGCCACATTCCTAAATATTTAAATTAAAATGAATTTAGTCTTCTTGGTGTTGATACCAAGACCCATGTTTTGCTGCAATGACCGACAATCCTGAGCGTACTCTGCAAATCTTCTATTTTATTAGCCTATTAAGGTGAAAATTGATTCTCCTGAACTTCGTTCCAAGCAACTTTTTAGTAAATTAAATCAAATTTGAAAACAATATTGCCGTAAAAATGCCGCGCCCAAACTTATTGATGATCTGTCAGCGGCCATGTTGGTTGTTGAATGCCGCAAGGTCATTGGTTAAAACAGAGATTTCAAATCTCGCGCATGCGCATGTTGAAACCATAGTTGCTTCATAAGCAATACTAATAATAATTATTGCTTATTATCGATTGGAATAGATATCTACGAAGCGAGTCTTGCTTTTTCGTATCTCACAATTTTGATGATAATGCGCTCAAATGAACGTTGATGATTTTAAGTAGAAAATAACTTGCAACTCTTCTACAGAATTGTCCATTCTTCCAATTAAGACTTTGACCAAGTGTGTTAAAGGCTTACTCCGGTAAGGTTTTTACTTCAGCGAACATTATGGTTAAACAAAGGAAAGACCAAAATTTTAAAAGTTAGCGCTCCAAATCGTATAGAGCCTAATGAGTTGGCGATTGTGTATCAGTCACGGCAAAAACGATATATCATTATACATGGAAGCTTATTTTGCCAGGAAAGTTTAATGCTAAAACACGTATATCGCTCTTACAGTAATTTTGAGAAACACGATTAGAAAGCAGACTATTAAGTGCGCATGGATATAAAATGCAATCTGTTTTAACGAATATTTATTTTCTTAAAACCTCAAATCTAAATGTCGACGTGGATATTTTCATTATACGCTTTTCTCCGTTTCGAATTATTTTTGCTTAAACCAAGTATGGTATGATACTTTAACAATTTAATAATGATTAAGCACGAGCTTATAACGTTGCCTCATTCTATTATCCTGTCGGTAAAATTGAGCTCGGGGCGCTTTTCTACGCATTATTTTGCACCGTGGAAATTTGTAGGCGGACGTTTTCTCGGGGTCTGCTTTTGTTGTGCCCCGATGTCCCGAGGGCTATTGTAAAATTTCGGATACATTTCATCTTCCGGCTTCCCTCAAAATTCTCGAACTTTGCAAACCCCTTTTCGCCTCTTCATACGACCTGCGAAAATTATACCAGCTGACCATTTCCATCGGGTTCATTTCAACCGCAGTTACACTTTTTTAGAGTCAGTAAGATAAGAATTTGTTTTCTGTTCTATCCATATACTTACTACAATGTAAAATAAAAATAAAAAATGTTGAATATACACAAGCGCGAATCATTTATAGACTCGGTTTCAACAAATAAGAATATCCACGCAAATAAGAGTGCAAGAACTAAACAAAGTTTAGTCGATCTCTTCATTAGAAAGCAAAATTGGCTTGGGATCATTATTTCTAACCATAGAACCAAAGTGATGTGGTTTTATGGTTAGTGTTGATTAGTTTGTTGTCAATACCTTTTAAGCTGAAAAAATGTCAAAATTATTTAAAATTAGAATAAACAGATAACCACGCCAGAAGGTAAAATGTTTAAAATCCGTTTGGGATTTAAGATTCTAAGGAACCTATTATGTTAAAAAACAGTTTTTTATAAGAACACTACATTATTTCGGCCATTATTTTTTAAACCGTCCACAGCTTATAAAATTGATAATGTACAATCTGAATTATAGCCTACAATCCATATAAATTACAACTGCAGTATTAAAACTTCATTGTCATCAACATAGGTAGTAATCTCAATATCACGGTGAATTCAAAAGCTTGAAGTGAGTTTAAACAAATCCCTAGCAATCAGTGTGACCTCGTTGCATTTCTACTGTCGCAGCGATAGAACATCTTTTACATAAATTGGCTCCTAAATGTCACTGCTACGACGTCATGTTGGAATTTCTAACCTGTAACGACTGTTATAAGGATGATTGCAAAGTCTATTTTCACTTTTAGAATGCGGTGAATTTAATAATTTAAAAACAATTATCGAAATGTCAAAAATATTACCGCATGATATCTTTAAATTTAACATCGTTGGTTAATCATTACTAACTTACGCGATCATCGTAAAACACTGTGAATACAATCTTAAAGATGATTGGTAAAAACTTTTGCTTATCATAGTTAACCTCTCCAACCTTCCAACCACAGAATCATGCCGGCCAGAACAAGAAATTTTCGAAGCTTTTCGAATCTCCAGCCCCCGGCATTTTGTACATTTCCCAATGGAAAAACGCTCCCAAGGTCGTACCGGGCGAATAAGAGCGTACCGGAGCTCGAGACGCGCGGGCCTCCTCTGCATTTCTCTTTCGGAATTCGTCTGCGAAAATGCCCCCGGCATTTTTCGACGCCGACATAATGCAAGAACTGCCCCACGGCAAACATATTTTACAGCACACCCATGGTGCCCGGAGGGACTATCTCGCCCACCGCCTATGGCGGACACGTTGTTTGTATAATGTACAAATTATCCTCTACCTACCTTCTTGTCGGTCGGGGTTGCCACGTATCGTGGGGCCCGCGCGATATCAAGGGGACTTTTATGATATTTTTCAAGCGTGGGAGACGAGCTAGAATTCAAAAAACGTGTAGGTGACTTCATACGACAGAACATAAAAATGAAACGTCCGGTGCGGGATTAGCACTGGCCAATTTACGTTATTCTGATTAATATTTGTACATTTGATCAAAAACTAAGTCAAAATTCACAGAAAATGAATCCCGACTTGTCTGTAGTGAAATAATTGTTTTGTTTGTGTACATGGAAATCATTTCCACGTAATTTATCTGTGTTTGAGGTTAGAAATCAGTGTTGTTCCATTTATTGATAGGGCTATTTTGTTAGTCTGATAGATTCTTATTTCGAGTGTTTTTACATTTTTACAACCCTAAGGACGGGAATATGGATTCTTCTCTGGTGGTATCTTGCGATCTGACATTTCGTAATTATGGGAGACACATCTCTAATTAAAAATTAATAAATAAAAAATAATACAAAATTAAATTAAAATCTTAAATTTAAACTCCTTATGAAGTGTGTTGCCTTTTGCAAATCCCTATATTGATAAATAATTACTTAATTTTGTTCTGTTTTTAAATCTATTAAGACCGTCCAAAAATAATATCTATATCTATATTTGCGGTCTCAGCGGCTTCAATTTTCCAACTACATGGCGATAAGAATAAGAAGAAGAAATGGTGGACTAACTTAATAACATTTCAAGCAGATCTGACTGCTCTCAAACCATCTAGGAAAATGTACCTATGAAATGTAATATATTAGTTTTTTAATTTATTTAGTTGATAAATTGATTATATTTACCTAATTCTTAAATATGACTTTTTTTTTGAGAGAAGGCGTAGGCATGCGAGCCGTTTTTGTATACTTATTTATTGTTTATTTTATTTAAGCAGAATTTTGTTATAAACATTTAAAAAATTACTGCCTTCAATAGGAAATTTATACGGGGAAAATCAAAATATTTGAAAAAAAAATGTTACGCCACTTAATCAGAACAAATTAAATCCTTTGACTGAATGATGAATGAATCAACTTTATGAATTCATTAATACACCGATTATTCTTTTGAGTTTAAGGGACACTTAATAATAAAAATAACGTTGTAATAAAACAACAAACAAAATGTTTAATCAGATGCGAAGAAATTACGCATTTTAAACGATTATTATTTTCAAAACTCTAAACCCGGTAGACATGTAGCCGGGGTTCGAAGAAACGTAAAAGTTGCACATCGGCCACGCCCCTATGTCGAGAAAAAAAGCGCCTCTCGTCAAAAATCGATTTCGA